AAATTCTGTGTCCCTTTTTATCTTTTTTAATTTTTATTCTCTTTTAAATAAAAAAGATACGTCATGTATGAGTTCAAATTATCTGTGATTTAGGTTATATTTATGTATACCTAAAAGGTACCAATAAAATGAATTTAAAAAAATGAAATATCCTCAATCTCTGAACATCTTTTTCAGTTGTATATAGTCATATAATATGGACTAATAGAATTATTCCTATTATCCTTTGAATGTTAGATTTTGATAATATCAACTTCCCAATTATCCTCCCTCATCCCTCTACTGTTATTCCCTTCCTCTTATACAATTGTCTTCTAATAAGGATAATTTGATTCCTTCCTTCTCTTCTTTCTTTCTTTCTTTCTTTCTTTCTTTCTTTCTTTCTTTCTTTCTTTCTTTCTTTCTTTCTTTCCTTCCTTCCTTCCTTCCTTCCTTCCTTCCTTCCTTCCTTCTCTCGTGTAATTGTTGTAGCTAAAGTTTCAAGTTCTCTGTTGAATAAAAATGGTGAGAGTGCACATCTTTGTCTCATTCTTGATTTTAGAAGAAATGCTTTCGGTTTATATCCCCCTATTCAGCATGATGTTGGCTATGGGTCTGCCATACATAGCGTTGTACAGTTGAAGTATGATTCTTCAATGTGTAGTTTCTCCAACGCTTTGATTATGAAGGGGTATTGAATTTTGTTAAAAGTTTTCCTGTATCAATTAAGTACATGATGTGCTTTTTATCCATGATTGTATATATGTGGGGTTTTACAAGTTTTTATTTTTTAAAGAAAATACAAAATTTAAAAAAACATTAGAGGGCTGGAGAGATGGCTCAGTGGTCTAAAGCACCTACTTGAAACAGGCTTGGCAAAGCACAGGGACCGTGGTTCAATCCCCCAGCACCACATGCCAGCCAGCCCCGCCCCCTGGTGGGCTGAGCTGGCCACATACACACACAATAAATAAATGTAATAAAAATAAATAAATGATTAAAAAAAACATTAGAAATGATACTGAATTTCACTAAACAAAATAATACAAAGTTGACAGTATTTGTTGTATTACATAGTGTTATCTTACAATTAGTTGTTTACAAGATATATGCATGTAAAATTGGGGGTGGAGTTATAAAACATTAAAAAGAAGAATAAAAATTTAAGCATTAACTGCTCCTATCAATAGGCCAAGAGAAATCAGCAGTACAACTATCTAAGCTAGGAAAAAAGAAAAAAATCCTACTCAACTCTTTGGGGCTTACAGGTTAGCTGAATTGTTTAAGGGACTGCTCTAGCAAACCCAGTCAGGTGCAGGGGACCACGGTTTGATTCCCAGACCTGCTCTTAAGGCAGCCTGAGCCAGAAAAAAAAAAAAAAAAAAAAAAAAAAAAAAAAAAAATTCTAACTATTTGAGCTAGGCTGGTGCAGGCAGTGGGAAGGGACAAAGCAGGAAACTGGCTTCCTCTGCTGCTAGACAATGGGCAGCCACCAGCTGGGAATAGCAAGTGGACAGAAAGGAATAAGTCCCTTCTCCCCGACTCCTCCTCTGCTACCTAATAGCACACAGCAACAGAAACTGACCTAGCAGAGACTGATGCCATTTGCTAAGTCCTAGGCACACAGAAGCTAGAAAGGCAGATTTGCAATTGAAAGCCAACCCTTCTATAAAGGGCATGCTAAAAGTGGGAGGAGGGAAACCCAGTGGGGAAGCTGGGAACAGGGCGAATTGAAAGATGTGGGCGTAATATGAGTTTAGAGCAGCAGGTAAGAGTGGCGAGGGGTGGGTTCAGATGGGCTAACAAAAAGTCAAGTTATACAGGGCTTTTGGACTTGGCACTGTGTTCTAAACACGGTGAAAATTACTAAGGCCTTAAGAGGAACATGATTTTGATCTGCTATCAGATTATGCTGCCTTCAGGGTAAGTGAATTGAGGGTAACAATAATATGGCACCCTGGGAACCTGAGTCAGGAGGATTTCGAGTTCAAGTCCAGCCTGGGAAAGTTAATGATTTAGCAAGGTCCGGTCTCAAAATAAAAAGGGACTGATGAAGTAGTTTAGTGCAAGGGCCCTGGACTTAATCCCCAGTACTGAAAAAATAAATGATTTGAAAGGATACAGCAGGGACTGGCCAGATAGTTCAGCGGATTAAAGTGCCTAATTCAGCAGAGCGCAGCAGCGGGGTTGGATCTGTGGTGAGCCGTTCAGGCCCCGCCCCCCAGGCGCATTGAGATGGCGATTGAAATTAGGCATGGTGGCTCGCACTTGTAATCCCAGCACTTGGAAGGTTGAAAACAGGAGAATCACTATAAGTCTGATCTTCCTAGTGAGACCCTGTACACTGTACACCCTATTACACCCTGTCCTAAATGAATTTTAAAAAATGATGCAGCAATGGATTCATCAAAATCAATTAGGACATTTTTACAATAGTAGGATCAGAAGCTAGTTGTGAAGTGGATTAGCGTGACCAGTCGTCCTGTGTGCTGGACTCGTTCTGGGTTAGCACCTCTATTCCAGGCAAACTCAGACCTTTGGTTACCTTAGGTAGGAGAGAGAGCGCTAGAAGTTACTGAATTTTGATATCAAGTGGCAGGAGGAAGAGGGAGGTGTGAAGAACGGCTTGTGGCTTTCTAGTCTTTGTCTCTGGAGGATGCTACATGATCAGATAAGGAAAATGGAGGAAAAATCAAGTTGGGATAGCGAAAGGGAGCCTGAGATGTTTTGTCTTGTTTTGTTCTGTCTATGTTTCCTGAGATGTTTTAGAGACATCCTTGTGGAGAACAGCAATCTGGAACTCTGATAAACTGAGTAGAGCTGGGATAGGGGACAACATTGTTGAACAGAGGCTCATTAGTACGATGGAGTTGGGCCAGACCGAAGGAGAATGCGCTTGAAAATGAGAATGAGGAGTTACTGTGTGACCGTCACTGTGTCCCCATACTGAAAAGCTCGAATTTCAATCTATTCTCCGTTGAGAAGAGGCCCGCCGCCGGTGATTCCTGAGCTCGCTGTCAGGTCATCTTACGGCAAATGCGCACTCTGACGCAATGTGGGATGTTCGAGACTTGCCAACTAGACTGGGCCCCAGGGTGGCTAGCAGCCTTGTCCTAATGGACGGTGACAGGTACAATTAACCTGGTGGATGGGCTAATGTCTAGTAGTTCCCCTGTAACGTGAGGTCCCTTAGGTGAGGTAATCATTTATATTGCCAGAACCTCGTGTGGCTCTAGTCTGACCTGTGCCCAGTTTATGCTGCCTGACTATTGCTCGGGTGCTGTGAGCGTGACTTTGTGTCCTCCTGGGTGACCCCGAACAAACCAGCCAGTGGTAGCTCTTGGTTCTTTAGACAGAAGGCCCCCATTCAATACACCACCCTCAACAGGAATTTAATTAAATTAATTCAAAGATCCATTACTTACAGATCCTGGGTAGGGAGGTCACACACACACACACACACACACACACACACTTTCTGTGTGTATACACACACACAGAAAGATAAAATTGAAATGAATATGTTCTTCCATCAAAATGGAATTTTGGAAAAATGTCTGGCATAATTTGGATCTTTACTGCTTTAAGCTAACTAAACTGCATATTATAGGTTTCACTGGTCGTTTTGAATAATTGAAATTTAACTACACACCTTGAAATAATATGAAACTTTAAAATTGCCCATATTTTACTAACAATTCTTTACTTTGCTGTAGCTCTTTGCCTGAATTCTTGCAACAGCTGCCGGAGAGAATCTGGCAGGGTTCTCAGACTTTCTGGGCATCTTCCCTCAAAGCTGCCTGCACAGAAACTTGTATTTACTTCTTGCCTTTCTCAATGACAGCTCCTTGCACCGTGGCTTCACAGCCTCCCCAGGAAACACACCTGATCTGTCCTGACATAATGATCCAATCCCAGAGAAAACAACCCACTCGCCAACCCACCATTCACTCCACGTCCAGGGAGTTTGTTACAACGAGGACCATGACAAAGCCGAGAGCAGTCCCTCCATTCTAAAGGCGTCCACTCACTGCTTGTAAGTTGCTCCAATTTCTTTTCCTATGGCCATTTCTCATGTCTGGGGACCAGCCCAGAAGCAAATTGCCTTTGGAAGCTTCACAAAGATCCATTCAGGCCTTTGAGGGACTTATCTCAGTGTGGGGAGGGGGAGGCATTCTCAGCTGTGAAGGCATGGGATGTTTTTCGTATGCTTGGGCAATTCAAAAAGGACTTTGTTTTTACACTTGGCCTGTGTGAGGCCCTGGATGAAGTCCAGAGCCTGTGACAAGCTGAGAGAGATGGATTTGGAAATAAACAATCAAATGAGGGCAGCTACCTCCCCCTGCCTCTGCACAGGCCATTTTCCTTGAGTTCAGGATGAACGTCTGCATAAATCATCCCGATATTGGCAGCCTCCTCTCTAACAAGGGCACACATCAGTTAATCTTCCACTCATACATCTGCCTTTGATCCAGGACACAGAACTTCTCTGTCCATTAGCCACGGTGGGGACCATAACCACCCTTCACATCTAAGAACCAGAAGGCGGTGAAGACTGAACCGCTGCTGCCTGCAAAAACCATTCCAAGTCTCCTCAAGAAGGTTCCGCAGTCCACACACCTGACAGGGGCCTTCCCACAGGGTCAGGGACTGCCATGGAACTCTGGGGACAGGCAGTGAGCTCTGTGCACCCCAGGCCACAGTCGCCACAATGCACTGGCTTCTCTCCCTTAAAATCTCTCCAAAATGTCTGAGGCCCTCCTGATGCAAGTGGCATAAGAACAATGTCACACTGAACAAGAGACAGGAAACTGCAGGAAGGGAAAAAAGAGAGAAAAGAAAAGAAAGTGAGGAAAGAGAAAAGAGGAGAGAGGACAGGACACAGGGAGGGAACAAAGGAAAGCAGGAGGAAAACTTCATTAACCTAAGCAGGAGTGGCTGAAAGAAAAGGAACACCCGCCAAGCCACAGAGGTGAGGCTTTCCTTTTCAAAAACCCCATACATTGAAGCAGTAAGCCCGAGTTGATTAAAAACACAAAGCAACAAAAGCACTAGATTGGCAGAGTCTGGTCTCCAGCTTCTCCACTGAACAGTAGTCTGCCTCGGAGCTACTTATGGCTTTGCTTGCGCTTCTCCGAGTCAGGGCTGGACACTGGGTTTCTGAGCAGATGTCAAGAGAAGTGGAGGCGTCTGTAGGAACTGTGTTTGCGAGCAGTGAGACTCTGAGCGCGCAGCCACCCGTGCTCACCTGAGGTGCCCGGCTGGCAGTTGCACTGGTAGCCATTCACAAGGTCGATGCAGCGCCCGTCGTTCAGGCACGGACTGCTGTAGCACTCGTCAATCTGGTCACTGCAGATGGCGCCCATGTACCCAGGGTTGCAGATGCACGTGTAGGAATCGATCCCATCCTGGCACTGGCCATGGTGGCAGGGATCGGGGTCACAGTTGTCGATGTTCTCTTCACACAACAGACCGGTGAAACCTGGGGGAGGATGTGACAGAGAAATCATGAGAGCCGAGGTAGACACGGCGCACCTCACCCCAAGGGCAGTTCATCCATTCACCACACGGGGAACAATTAGAATGGCCAGTGCGGAGAGTAACTCAGAGAGCTCCTTTGAGAAGGGCCGCCTGGAGATGCGCGCCCTAGCTGAAGATTCCCAGTCAAAGCTGCAGAAAAAAATCACCTCGGTGAGCAACGACTGATTTCCCTTTAAAGATGCTTTAGGGGCCAGGGAGATGGCTCAGTAGAATAAGCACTTCCCTGGCAAGCACAAAGGCCCAGTTCTGGAAAAAAAAAAAAAAAAAGAGCTTTGATCTCAGCTGCCTCTTACTGGCCTTCAGGGGAACCTCTAAATGCCTGCCTTCTTGCTTGTGTCTGGACTCCTGTCCTCCCAAGCCCAACCCACAGGACAAATTGATGGTTCTGAATGGGAACAAATTAACACCCTAAGGTTACACCTCCATATATATGTATGGCCGGGGAGATAGCTCAGTAGAATAAGTGCTTGCCTGGCAAGCGCAAGGGCCTAAGTTCAATCCCTGGTTCCAACACACACAAAAAAAGACATCTTTGAATATATATATATATATATATATATATATTAGGATAGATATACAGCTACTTAGTTCAATGAGAAAGATTTGTACTAATATTGTTTAGAGAAGAGATCATGTCTGCATCTTGTACTATGAATAACTACTATGAATGCAACAATATGCAGCACATCAATTATTGTAACTTTCCTACTAAGCTGTTTTGAAACTGTCTCATTGCTATTTCTTTCTCATTAAAATTAATAAAAAAAATTTTTAAAAGAAAAAAAAACAAATTGATGGTTCTGTGCATCTTCTCCTCCTAGTTCTGACTTGGGCCACTGAGAACGGTCTTGGCTTTCTGCCACAAGCCCAGGGAATGAAAAGCAGCCTAGCATAGCCTTCAGTGTTCCAGAGGCGGTCCTAGCAAGGCCCAGGCAGCCCCTCCTCACTCCAGGGTCTTTTTTTTTTTTTTTTTTTAACGGATCCGGGGATTGGACTCAGACCCTTGAGCTTGCCAGGGAAGCACTTATTCTACTAAGCCACCTCATGCTAGGACTGTGGGTCCTCTCACCTGGCAGGCACAGGCAGGTGGCATCGTTCTGGCAGGGGTCAGAGTGACATTCGTTGATGTCCATCTGTCAGCGAGGTCCCGCGTAGCCCCTCAGACACTCACAGTGGAAGGTGCCGTCCTTGTTCACACACTTCCCCGCGTGTTCACAAGGATTGCTGTTGGCTGCAAGACACAGGCCCTCATCGCTGGGGCCCTAGTTCCTGCCAGAGCTTCCACAGTTGTGGACTTCAAAGAGCTCTGTGGCTACCCTCTAGCCTCTTCCTAGCCCTATGGGCAGGTGCAGATGTCGGGCCCATTCAGAGGGCTGTCGTCACACAGCGTCCCCTGGTGGCAAGTACTGCCAATGCGGCTATGGTCCAGTTGAGCTAAGAGATCTGTCTCCCGGTAGGGCTGGGGTAGGGGTGGGAATTAGAGTCAAGGTTGGGGTGGGATGGGCGAACAAAGGAAACAGAAAAAAAATGTCTTTCACTTAGCTTTCTCTTTCACCAAGGAGAGAAAAGCTTATCTAAGCAGCACCTCCAAATCCAACAGGAAGATTTAGAGTCAATTTCCTTTTGATGTACCTCAGAGAGATTCACTGTAGCTTTCGGCAAAGCAACCGTCAGCTCCGGAGCACCCAGGGCTCTAAGCCCGAGCACTCAGCTTGGTTTCTCCTCAGGGTGGACACATAGGATAGGGAAGCAAATTAAGAGAGAGACGCAGGAACATTGACTCATCCCCTGTAGAGCATGCCAGGTTTAACCAGAATAAAAGTAGAAGATTCCCAGTTAAATTTACTTTCTCAGAAACACAAAAGAATTAATGCAAATATTATATATGTCAAAGATTCCATGATTTCTGTGTTTTATCTGGAGTCCTCCTTTCCTGAAATCTTTCAATATGGATTCTGTCCCAGAGGTATCTCACGCTCACCCTAGTCTAGGTGCACTGGGGCAAAATGGCTTTGATCCTGGTTGAAGGAATTCCTGGTCTCTGTCCCTAATGTGCTCTAAAAGTATCCCCATCCTACTAGTGCTATCATGCCCGAGAGCAAACTAGTAGTTCCTCTAATCCCATTCCTTCAGCAGTATTGCCTTATCACAAAATATCTTTCCAGGCTACTCGTTAGAGTTTAAAACTTTGGAAATAACCTGGACTAGTTCTTCTCATTTGTTCTCCATATTCAGCCCTAAGTTATCGTGAACCCTGCCACTTAATATCTCTTGATTCCAATTCCACCCACCTTGCCAACACCGTAATCTAGGTCTTGTAATGCCTGGCCTCCCGAATCATCACTGCTTCACTTATCAGGGACAAAATTTCAACAATAATAAATTGGATCATGCCACACACACTAGAAAACAGTTCAAAGCATTGTCATTGCTCTTAGACTCTAAAACCACTAATGTGTATGACTACTATATCCATAATTATCTTATGAGTGCAAACGTGGTCCCACTGTTTTCAAAGGAGCCTTAAATAATCAAATGTCTGAAAAAGCATTTTTGCTTACCTAAAATATGCTTTGGTTCCTATCTAAAATTAGGAATTACTCCCACACTGTTACAAAAATTTTAGGAATAAAAAAAAAAATCCTAAGCGAGTTGAAGGAATCGATTTATTTGCCAGCCAGGACTGTGCTTCAAACATAACATGCGTTTTATTCACGGTGTTCCCCCCACAAAGCAGGGAACTCTGGTGTGCATATGGGGTGTCACCCACACAGGCATTGAGATGACACAAGGAGGTATTAAAGGAGGGCAGAACCCAGGGTCTAGAGCTGGGCTTCTGAACACTAGCGTTTCCTGAGGACAGACAGACGTGTGACTCTGCGGTGACCCAGGGCATATGCATCATGGAGCCATTAGCCCTTTCCTGTGCAGACAGCATCTGACCACTGAACCCACCCAGTCTGCCTCTAAACACAGTAAAATGAGGGAAAAGGCTCGCAAAGGGCAGGCGGGGGGTTCCCAGAAGAGATTCGGAGATTTACTGACTTCGCAGCCCAACCGTGCAGACCTCCTCATGATAAGTGGAGAAGCCTGGGGCATGCGCAGATCGTGGCTGTCGCTGCCCTTCACATAAGTAAATGAACTGTTCAAAGCAGGGACCTGGGAGGTGACAGGTCAACAGATCATTTCACTGTGAAGGAGAACCTAACAATTATTTTCTGTCAGAACTTTAACAGCATTGAAAACTTTCATCAGTTTTTCATATTCAGCATTGCTGGTGAAAGGTAGATAGTGTAATTCTATTTTAATTATTTTTTTTTTTTTGCTTTAATGAGGGCAGGTATTTTTAAAATCTAGAAGCTTTTAAAATTTTTAATGTTTAGTGTTATTTTATGGCTATTATTAATGAAAATGTTTTTTATTTTTGTTACTGATTATCGCTACATGTTCAATGGCTATTTATTATTTGGTATATAATTCTTTGTTATTTTATTAGTTATAATAGCTATATATAACTAATAACTATATAAACACAGATGTTGATAACTTCTTTCTTTCTTTTCGTCTTTTTGAGACACGGTTTCACTTTGTAGTCCAGTTGGCCTAGAACTCAAAGTAATCCTCTTGCTTTATCCTCCTGATTGCTGGGATTACAGGAATGTGCCACCATTTCCAGCGATAATTTCATTATCAACATAGTAAATGTTAAAATAGTCAGTATATTTGGTGCTTATATGTATATCATGTTTTATATTTATTATGTACTAAATCTCTGCAAAAAAAGTAAATAAGTCAGATCTTAAAAATACCACTTCCACCTTTGACATTTATCTCTGTTGCCTTTTAATAGTTTATAGTAAATATTATTAGGGAGTATTTTTGCCTTCCTATTTTATTTGAGATCTCTAATTAAAAATTATAGGAATACTTAAAATTTTTTCAACATTTATGTACATAATCATAGTATTTGATCTTAAGTATATTAATGTGATAAATTATTCCAAAGCATTTCTTGAGATATACTTATTCTTATGAAATAAATATTTGATTTTACATTTGACCCTAATTATTATGTTCCTTTGCATCACGTCATTACTAATTAGCTGGGTAACTTTTTAAATAACAATTGTACCTTAATTTTATCTTTTAGAAACAATGACACCTCCTTCACAGAGTTTGCATGGTGTGTCTATTGCTGGGACGAAGTGACCGGCACCTGAAAAGTAAGAAAGAGAGGTCTGTTTGAGCTCACATTTTAGTGAGTTCAGTCCGTGGCCAACCATCTCCACGCAGAGCCACATGGCAAAGGGAAGCTGCTCGACCGTGGCAGCCAGGGGCAGAGAGAGAGAAGGAACTGGGGAGGAGTGTGAGCTTGCCGGCCGCATCCCGCACCCGGCAGGTGGATGTGGCCGAGCGAGACAGGAGCAGCCTGAAGCGCGTCTGCCTTTCTGTGGATGCAGCGAGCGAGCACCCTGACAGCCTCTAGATCTGGGCCCTGGCAGCAGAGGTGCCGAGGACTGCAAGGCAGAGGCAGTGTGGCTTCCAGGAGGACACTTCAGGGTCGCTTTTGGGCCTCTCTCCTGGCCAATTTTCCTGGCTACCTAGTCTCCACATGGGATTTCTGGCCTCCTGGAGGTTTCATAAATGATGGAAAACTCTTAAATAAATTATTTCATCACTTAAGTAGCCAGAATGGATTCTACAATCTCCAAACAAAGACTTGACTAACACCTCCCATTGTTGAGAAGACCAAGTCAATACTCTAGACCTAAGCCCTGACTTTGCTTCATCAACATCAATACTCGGGACTTTTTGTCATTATTGCTCCTTGTGTTAGTGTCAACTTGGCTGAATCAGCTCCGGCAGCATGGGGGCCTCGCCCTGCGGGTGGGCAGGGCCCGGGAATTGAGAAAGGCTTCCTGCCACCCTGCCTGGTTTCCTGCTGCCCCACCCCGCTCTCGTGGAGAACTCTCATTCTTCGAGGAGCTTGATCTTGGCAGCCGCACCACTTTGGAGGAGCTCCGATCTTCACTGTGGAGCGCTGGTCTTCGCAGTCAGCGCAGAAGGAAGAGAGAGGCTTGATGGACGCCGCTGCAGCTGCTTCTCCTCCTCTGCTCTTCATTGTTTTCTGCCGCATGAACTGCTGTTGTTTGCCTTGGAGCCAGGGGAATATGGACTGAACCCTCCAGTAACTGTGAGTTAAATAAACCTTTCCTTCCTTCATTTTGAGTGTGGGGTGTTTGTCCCAGCAACGAGTGAAAAGTAACTAAGACACTCCTGCTCTTACACACATACAAAAACCCCTACAAGTTGTGAAGCAAGAAACAATTCACTTTAACAGCAATAACAAAGCAAATACTGGGGCCGGGGAGATGGCTCAGTAGGATAAGCGCTTGACTGGCAAACGCAAGGATCTGAGTTCAATCCCTGGTTCTGCCAAAAAAAAAAAAAAAACAACACATTAGAAAATATTAAAAAAAAAAAAAAGCAAATACTAACTTCAAGCAAAGCAAAAGAAAAACATAACTAAAACTGCAAGATCTAGTGAAAGAATAATCTTCAAAGTTGCTACACACAAAGAGACCTGAAAAGATGTTCTTAGGCTCACACATCATCAAACTGTCAGTGTGACACGTTATGATTTTTTTAAAAAATTTATTTCTTTATGTGCATGTGTGACCAGCTCAGCCCACCCGGGGGCGGGGCTGGCTGGCATGTGGTGCTGGGGGATTGAACCGCGGTCTCCGTGCATTGCTAAGCTTGTTCTAAGTAGGTGCTTTAGACCACGGAGCCATCTCACCAGCCCCGACACATTGTGATTTTGATCCTTTAGTTTGTGAGCATGATGATGATTGGGTGTTCATGCCGTATGCATGATGTGTGCCTCCCTCAAGCCCTGGCACAACATGGGCACATGGCCTGTCTGATGTGAAAAGAAATATGATTTCAATAGCAATACTTTTTTTTCTAGTTTCAAAGTAATTTAATATTATTTACACAGTTAAGGAACAGGTGATACATTTTCATTTGTTGGAAACTGATCTTTCTATAATAAAATAGATTTTAAATTCAGTGTATGTCATTATTACTGCTAAGGAAATCTTAGCCCTTGTTTGCCTTAAAACAGTATTTGCTGTATAATTATTGCTGTGTAGTCAGACCTATTAATTCACCAAGTCTCATAAATGGTCCTGTTTTACATTTAGTCAACTGAGCCAAGGATCCTATTTCCTATGGATATTCTGAAATACTTTTTGCTCTGGTTGTGACAACTGGGACAAAAAAGACAAACCCTCAAATCTTATTAAATCTAGAATAAGATGAAGATCCCAGTTTATGCTTCTACTCATAACCTGAGTTGTAGGCTCTACTATGCCAAATAAATGGTTCTTCTAGTACTTAATTAGATCTTAGTATCTAAACAAAATAATTTTCCAAATCAATAAAATAGCTTTATAGCTTTCTTGCTCTGTGACGACCCTATTAACGGCCTGGCAAATCATTGCTTTAAAGCTGTAACTACACCAAAGCACTGATTAAGCTTTAGTAAGTACACAGATAACTAGTCCCAAGAGCTGCATTCTGTACTCTCCAAAAATATCTCTTGGGATGTAACACAAAATTTAAGTCCTCACAGTAGTAATTTTATTAAATTAGTTACTTTATAAAACATCGCAGATGTCATAATTGTGAACATAACAATTTACCAAGCTGTAGTTAACTGATGCAGTTTGCTGAGCATGTTTTATAAAGTAGAGGAAGGGCCAAAACCCTGTTAAAGTTGTTCCACTGCAGCCTAAAAGAACAAGATTTTATTTCTCAGACACTTGAATCAGGTAGCTTCCCTCCCCTATCCTGAAGCACGCCATCAGTAGAAGTAGTCTAATAAATTAAAAACTAGATAGTCTATGCACTCAACAGAGTCCACGACTTGTACTGCAATAATGGAGAGGTTTTCCCTTCTTCAGCTTCAAAGTTGGAGGGTTTGGTCATTTAATTTGTAATTATCTTTACTCTGAGATAAGCAGTCTTCTTCACAATGGATTTTTACTATCCTCATGCTCAATTTTAAGACAAAGCAATTTTATTACTAGGTGCACACTACATGCCCTTGCTACAAACTGCTTTTCTTGACAAGTTATGAAGTAGTTCAAGGAGGTATGGTTAAGGTTGTATTACTGTATGGTGCTGGTAAATACTACATAATTTTTTTTGTCATGTTGCAATCTTTTTGTTTCCAATTTAGTGAATGCTGCTCTGGAATCAGATAGCAACAATGACATTAAATCTGTTTTTCAACTATGATTTAGTAGTAATTGAGATTCCCAATTTTAACCCCTTGCCAGCAAGATCCAAGTTCCCTCATTTGCGCATTAGCACCTAAGTGTCAAGGGGTTAAATAACCAGCACAAAAGATACTGCACTTTTGATTGTAGCATTTGGCAGGACTGAAAGGAAAGGAAGTTGTGCTACATGTTGAAGGGATTGTGGACAACAGAAAGAAGACACTAGAAGATAAAATGTCACACGAAGTCTTCATAGTCTTGGACATATCCTCCATCATAACCACCATCATCTGCCAGATCGTCTTTCATGGTGGCCTTTAATCCTCCTCCAGAAACCACACCTTTCTTCTTCTTTTTGACTTTGCTTTGCTTTTTCTTGCTTCTGTTTTTCACTGCAAAGCACAGTCCATGAATTGGTAATCTTTTTCAAGTCATCAATTTCCAATGAAACACACACATCTCGAACTAAGGCTTCCAAAAAACTGGCATAATATAGTGACTTTTCATACTGTGTAATTTTATCTTTTAGTAACTTTCTGAACTCTGTGAAATCATCTCTTGAAGACGGATTCATAGCATCTATTCCATAAACTGTAGTATTGACACCAAAAGTTTCTTTTGCTAATTCAAGGTCTGACTCTTCCTGTAATTTCTTTAGCCGCAATTTATCCGCTAATTATTCTTCTGATGTTAGGGCTTTAGGTTCTTCAGGTTCCTCTAACCTCTTTTTAATTGCTTCTTGCCTTTTCTTCTGTTGCCGTTCTTTCTCTTTTATCTTCTCTGCTTTTTTTTTTCTTTTCTGAAATTTTTACTTTTGGTTTTACTTCTGTTTCCTCATTTTTCTCCTCATCTCCATCATCCCAGTTATCCTTAACGTCCTTGTCCTCGTCCTCGTCCTCGCCTTCCCAGTGGTCCACTGCCCCCCACCTTCCACACCGGGTCTTCCACGGTGTCTGCATCCCAGGAGTCGGAGTCCCCCGCTGCCGCCACCACCGCCAATGCCGTGGCCGCTGCCACCATCTCGAGCCGGCGTGAGCGTGTGTGAGAGAAAAGCTGTGAAGAGTTGGAGCAACGGAGGTGAGTCACTGAGCTGGCTCTCGGTGGCCCGCGCGGGGGCAGGCTCCAATAGCATACTAACACAATTTCTTTAATTTTAAGACAACAGAAGGGGCTGGAGAGATGGCTCAGTGGTCTAAAGCACCTACTTAGAACAAGCTTAGCAAAGCATCAGGGACCGCGGTTCGATCCCCCAGCACCACATGCCAGCCAGCCCCGCCCCCTGGTGGGCTGAGCTGGCCACACACACACACCACTCTCTCTCTCTCTCTCTCTCAAATAAAAAAAATTAAAAAAAAAAAAAAAAAAAGACAACAGAAGCTATTTTTTTTTCAAAAATTCATGCAAAGAGAGTAAGTTTTAAAGTAAAAGTTATTTGCTAATGGAAACCCAAGGGAAAATTATATCAGAAAGAACTGAGACACAAATATAAGTTAGAACAATGACCATACAAAGTCTTTTGTCAATTGCCAACTTAGGGAGTACTATGAACTCAGGTATAAGCACAATTGCCTATAGTCATCACCGTAGAGTGACATTCTTGACAAATAATGACCATCTTGATTGACTTAGTTAGGATGTCACTTTTAGATTTTTATAAATGGATTCTGTTATCCTTTGAAGAAGGTGGCAGTCTCTGAGATTGTCAAGAGGTTGAATAGAAGGGAAAAGGAGTTTATTTATAGATTGAGCTGTTCACACAAGAATCCAGTTGAGTGCATGCGTGGGGAGCTTATCTGTTCTTGTGTCTGTTTGATTTAGCTTTACTTTGGGCTTGGGATGTCTCTTTTTTTAAAAAAAAATAAATAAATTACAAGTATTTGTTGAAAGCACATTTTTTCCAATATTAAAAATAAAATATGAGGGCTGGACAAATAGCTCAGTGGATTAAAGCACCTGCAAGCAGGCACAGGGGCCAGGGGTTCAGTCTCCAGGCCTGCCATGCCGGCCCGCCCCTGGGACACACTGAGATGGCAATTGAGACTGGGTGTGGTGGCGTGTCTGTAATCCCAGCTCCTGAGAGGCTGTAAACAAGCAGATCACTGTGAGTCCGATATAGTAGTGAGACCTTGAACACCCTCTAGACACCCCCCCAAAAGCACAAAAAAACATGTGACTAGAAACATTCAGAGAGTGAAAGCTGTCAAACTGGCTCCCGTGCCACTAGCACATCATGAATCATCCAAGGAAAAGATAATTTGCAGCTTAAAATTAGGGAATCTCATACACTATTTAGACAGTAGAAAAGAAAAACCAGACAACAAATCCAATCCTCAACATTTTACCGAATTTAAGCACACAAAACTGTGCTACCTTATACGTTTCTCCATGAACTTTTTGTGAAATTCCGATCGCCGTGTATCATTGACAAATCTTTTGTCTTTCTTCTGATCATCTACAGCCTTTGCACAGTTCTTGAGACCACATCACCGTCCCACCTTCTTTTAACTCTGAAGTTGGCCTGAGGCTGAGATGGACCAGTGAGAGTAATGACAGGGTTTCCACTAAGAATGTTTTCCAAATGAATCCTTTCTTCTTCAGCTTTTTGTCCTTGTTCATTCCTGGCCTGCTCTTCAGCTCTTTCTTTTTTAATTTTTTCCAATTCTGCAAGAAGAGCTGCAGCATCATTGTCATCACTCTCCTCTTCAAAGTCTTCATCTTCCTCATCTATTCAAGGATCGTCTGCATCAAGGTTGACCACAGGAATCTGGTCTAGGTGAGGCTTCTTGAACACCGAAGAGGAGGTGTTCTCGGGTTGGATGATCTCTCTCTCTCTCTCTCTCTCTCTCTCTCTCTCTCTCTCTCTCTCTCATCCAATTCTCTCCTAAAGTCACCGTTATGAACTTCTTTTTAGGGGCATGCTGAGTAGTTTAGTAGTTTGTTTATACTTTATCTTTGTATGAGAAGGAAGGTCCCTACTTGAATATTACTTTGAGAGTTGGCTCAAATCAGCTTCTCAAAAAAAAAAAAAAAAAAAAAAAAAAAAAAAAAAAAA